AACACATATGTGAGAATGCTGTTCATTGACTACAGCTCAGCGTTCAACACCATAGTGCCCACAAAGCTCACCACTAAGCTAAGGACCCTGGGACTAAACACCTCCTTCTGCAACTGAATCCTGGACTTCCTGACGGGCCGCCCCCAGGTGGTAAGGGTAGGCAACAACACGTCTGCCACGCTGATCCTCAACACTGCGGCCCCTCAGGGGGGCGTGCTTAGTCCCCTCCTGTACTCACTGTTCACCTACGACTGCGTGGCCAAACACGACTCCAACACCATCATTAAGTTTGCTGACGACACAACAGTGGTAGGCCTGATCACCGACAACGATGAGACAGCCTATAGGGAGGAGGTCAGAGACCTGGCAGTGTGGTGCCAGGACAACAATCTCTCCCTCAATGTGAGCAAGACAAAGGAGCTGATCGTGGACTACAGGGAAAGGCGGGCCAAACAGGCCCCCATTAACATCGACGGGGCTGTAGTGGAGTGGGTCGAGAGTTTCAAATTCCTTGGTGTCCACATCACCAACAAACTATCATGGTCCAAACACACCAAGACAGTCGGGAAGAGGGCACGACAACACCTTTTCCCCCTCAGGAGACTGAAAAGATTTGGCATGGGTCCCCAGATCCTCAAAAAGCATCCTGACCGGTTGCATCACCGCCTGGTATGGCAACTGCTTGGCATCTGACCATAAGGGCGCTACAGAGGGTAGTGCGTACGGCCCAGTACATCACTGGGGCCAAGCTTCCTGCCATCCAGGACCTATATACTAGGCGGTGTCAGAGGAAAGCCCAAAAAATTGTCAAAGACTCCAGTCACCCAAGTCATAGACTGTTCTCTCTGCTACCGCACGGCAAGCGGTACCGGAGCGCCAAGTCAAGGACCAAAAGGCTCCTTAACAGTTTCTACCCCCAAGCCATAAGACTGCTGAACAATTAATCAAATAACCACCCGGACTATTTACATTGACCCCCCCCCCATTTGTTTTTACACTGCTGCTACCCGCTGTCTATTATCTATGCATAGTCACTTTACCCCTACCTACATGTACAAATTACCTCAAATAACCTGTACCCCGCACATTGACTCGGTACCGGTACCTCCTATATATAGCCTCATTATTGTTATTTTATTGTGTTACTTTTTACTTTAGTTTATTTGGTAAATATTTTCTTAACTCTTTCTTGAACTGCATTGTTGGTTAAGGGCTTGTAAGTAAGCATTTCACGGTAAGGTCTAAACCTGTTGCATTCGGCGCATGTGACAAGTAAAGTTTGATTTGATTGATTTGAGATCCTCTCAAGCTCTGTCAGGTTGGATGGGGAGCGTCACTGCACAGCTATTTTCTAGTCACTCCAGAGATGTTCGATAAGGTTCAAGTCCGGGCTCTGGCTGGGCCACTCAAGGACATCCAGAGACTTGTCCCGAAGCCACTCCTGCGTTGTCTTAGCTGTGTGCTTAGGGTCGTTGTCCTGTTGGAACGTTAACCTTCGCCCCAGTCTGAGGTCCTGAGCGCTCTGGAGCAGGTTTTCATCAAGGATCTCTCTGTACTTTGCGCCATTCATCTTTCCCTCGATCCTGACAAGTCTCCCAGTCCCTGCCACTGAAAAACATCCCCACAGCATGATGCTGCCACCACCATGCTTCACCGTAGGGATGGTTCCAGGTTTCGTCCAGACGTGACGCTTGGCATTCAGGCCAAAGAGTTCAATCTTGGTTTCATCAGACCAGAGAATCTTGTTTCTCATGGTCTGAGAGTCCTTTAGGTGCCTTTTGGCAAACTCCAAGCGGGCTGTCATGTGCCTTTTACTGAGGAGTGGCTTCATTCTGGCCACTCTACCATAAAGGCCTGATTGGTGGAGTGCTGCAGAGATGGTTGTCCTTCTGGAAGGTTCTCCCATCTCCACAGAGCAACTCTGGAGCTCTGTCAGAGTGACCATCGGGTTCTTGGTCACCTCCCTGACCAAGGCCCTTCTCACCCGATTGCTCAGTTTGGCCGGGCGGCCAGCTCTAGGAAGAGTCTTGGTGGTTCCAAACTTCTTCCATTTAAGAATGATAGAGGCCACTGTGTTCTTGGGGACCTTGAATGCTGCAGACATTTTTTGGTACCCTTCCCCAGATCTGTGCCTTGACACAATCTTGTCTCGGAGCTCTACGGACAATTCCTTCGACCTCATGGCTTGGTTTTTGCTCTGACATACACTGTCAACTGTGGGACCCTATATAGACAGGTGTGTGCCTTTCCAAATCATGTCCAATCAATTGAATTTACCACAGGTGGACTCCAATCAAGTTGTAGAAACATCTCAAGGATGCACCTGAGCTCAATTTCGAGTCTCATTGCAAAGGGTCTGAATACTATTGTAAATGTGATATTTCAGTTGTTTCTTTTTAATACATTTGCAAAAATTCTAAAAACCTGTTTTCACTTCGTCATTATGGGCTATTGTGTGTAGACTGATGATGGAAAAAAACCAATTTAATCAATTTTAGAATTAGGCTGTAACGTAACAAAATGTGGAAAAAGTCAAGGGGTCTGAATACTTTCTGAATACACTGTATAGGCATATATACTATAAAATATATACGCAACATTTAAAGTGTTTCATGAGTTGAAATAAAAGATCCCAGAAATGTTCCACATACACAAAAACCTTATTTCAAATATTGTGCACAAATTTGTTTACATCCCTGTTAGTGAGCATTTTATCCTTTGCCAAGATAATCCATCCACCTGACAGACGTGGCATATCAAGAAGCTGATTAAACAGCTTGATCATTACACAGGTGCACCTTGTGCTGGGGACAATAAAAGGACACTCTAAAATGTGCAGTTTTGTCACACAACACAATGCCACAGCTGTCTAAACTTTTGAGGGAGCATGCAATTGGCATGCTGACTGCACTAATGTCCACCGGACCTGTTGCCAGAGAATTGAATGTTCATTTCTCTACCATAAGTTGCCTCCAACGTTGTTTTAGGGAATTTGGTAGTATGTCCAACCGGCCTCACAACCCCAGACCACGTGTAACCACGCCAGCCCAGGACCTCCACATCCGGCTTCTTCACCTGCAGGATCATCTGAGACCAGCCACCCGGACAGCTGATGAAACTGAGGAGTATATCTCTCTGTAATAAAGCCCTTTTGTGGGGAAAAAATAATTCTGATTGGCCCACCCCATTGCTGCGCACTTGTTCTGTCATGTAAAATCCATAGCTTAGGGCCTAAGGAATGTATTTCAATTGACTGATTTCCTTATATGAACTGTAGCTCAGTAAAATCGTTGAAATTGTTGCATGTTGTGTTTATATTTTTGTTCAGTATACATAAAAGGTTATTTTATTTGGTTCTTTAAAGCAAGTCTACCCCAGGAGTGAGAGTGGGCTGAGGTTGAATTTCACCTTAATGCGCCACTGATGGTGACTCACCAAACCCCTTTGTATAGGATCATGCACGTTCTGTTTTTTGGCTCGTGGGGAGGGGTTGGCATGTAGAAATAAGCGTACCGGCCACTCGCTTGTTAGATACAAATGGCTCATATGCCTCATATTTAGTTGCCTAGATTTTCCCATGACTATGAAAGCTTACTTTGAAGTGTTGCATCATTTCCAATCGTTTAAGGAACATAAAATATAGGATGCACACCCCTTTAGATTATTAGATATGGGTGTTATTCTGATGATGTAGGCCTATGTCTCTGATAAAGCTGTGGCTTTCCTTGATCTAACCTTATAAAAATGATTAGACTTAGTTAGCTATTTCATTTGGGATGAAATGTAGGCTACATTTCTGTATTGAAATAAATAAATACAAAAAAAAGACCTATGCATAATTGTAGCCTAAACTTGTTATTAATAGAGCTCGCCAACTTGTAGTCCTAAAAACCGCAAATGACTTACCTCTGGTTCGTTCAGCCATTTCTATTGGGAAAATGAACAGGGAAAGATTATTGTTTTGGGATAAAAGCCGAAAAAAAGGTCTGAGGTTAACACAGGCTTAGTAGATATTATATGTTTTGTTCTAAGATATTTTATCAGTCAGTTAGCATGACCTTTATGAATTATGAAGCCTTTTGTGTGTTTTATGTGCTTTTTTTTATTACATACATGCTTCAAAATTCACAAAAAGTTACGTTAGCTAATGAAGATTATCTCATAGAACGAAACGTATAACATCTCCTAAGCCTGTGTTTACCACAGACCTTATTTTCGGCGTTTATCCCAAAACCCTTCATTTTCCCATAGGCTTTGTCCAGCGAACCATGGCTGAGTAGTGCCTACAAAAAGACGCCATTACTATTGCAGAGATGATAGCCTCATGAGCCTAACATTTTGGCTCTGTAAGTGACATTTATCTTCAATAGACTAATATTGTAGCTAGCTATGTATGCATTTGGCATTTTAATAGGTACAATTACTCAGGTAATTGGAATAATGTTCAACATGACAGTGTCTGAACGTCGGTGTCACATTCCCATAATGCATTGCAATGCCAACGAAGGCAAATCTGACCATTGCCTAGTCGTCAACATGGCCACCATTGTTTGACACAGCTGACATAGTTCTTCTCAATGGATGTCAATTGAGCAGACACATATTATCCATAAATTTTTACGAACTAGCTAAGCAAACGAAACAGCGCGTTCTTTAGCTTCTACAATACCCAGCCTGGTAAGAGACTACGAGCTAGCAGTAGCACACTAGGAGTTAACATCAGATAGCTAGCTAACGTTAGATCTCTTCAGATACACAATATCATACTTAGACTATTGAATGATATTTAGCTTTCTAGTTGCTGTCAGTTCGTATTTTCATTGTTTTCGAATTTTGTTAATTATTTCACTAGGTATGGCTTTCAAAGTCTGTATAAGGCTTCCTACGTTAGCTAGCAACGGTATTGCTTTGATGCCGGCTTGGTTGGTGATAACAGAGGAAGATAGGACGTGATTTCCGTGTAAGATTGCTAATAATTACTCTCTTCAGTGTCAGTCAAAATGGCAAGCCCAAGGACCAGAAGAGTTTTGAAGGAAGTGAGAACCCAGGAGGAAAACAACGTGAGTAGCTAGCTAGCTAACGTTAGCTAACGACGTTAGCTTGCTGTTTGAGCAGTAACGTAGTTAGCTGGCTTAGTCACGACTTGATTGCCCAACGGGCCAAGGCTAAACTAGCAAAGGTTTTAAATGGACACTGAAATTAAGACCTTTAGGCTGAACAATCTCTGTTGAAATATTCAATGTGATAGTGTCCACAGGCGTGTTTTCAATATCGACATCAAATAGTGAGCCAACATTTCCCCCTCTCTCTTTTCTCAGCTTTGCTTTGAATGTGGGGGCTTCAACCCTCAGTGGGTGAGTGTGACCTATGGGATCTGGATTTGTCTGGAGTGTTCTGGCAAACACAGAGGCTTGGGAGTACACCTTAGGCGAGTAACTTCTATGTTCCAAAAGGCCGATTTTTCTGATTGTGTTGGGATTTATGCTTGCCTGCAGAGGCTTGTTTGTGCATGAATGTCACAATCCTCCACTGTTGAATCTCTTATCCTGAATAAGTAATTGTTCAAGCCTTCAGCCATGCCCTTCTAAGATGATGATTACCAGTTATATTCTTTGTTAACCCACCATACCCACCAAGTCATCCACATTTCTTCTTTCCTGTCAAGTTGGTTTGGAAGTATTGATCCCCTAATGTGATCTCTGTACTGTAGTTTTGTGCGCTCTGTTACCATGGACAAGTGGAAGGACATTGAGCTGGAGAAGATGAAGGCGGGAGGGAATGGAAAGTTCCGTATGTTTCTGGAACTCCAAGATGATTACGATGCCACCTGGACCATGCAGGACAAATATAACAGCAGACCTGCTGCACTTTTCAGAGACAAGGTAAGGAATCCTCCCTTTTGAGTCATTATTTTAATGGTCATGCACATAATAATGTTGCTGGGGACACTCCAAATCAAATTTCTGAATTGCCAATGCTAATATCAGACAGTACATCAATAATGGGCTCACTCACTGAAATGCATGCCTCTTTATTCCATTGACAGGTTGCAACCATTGCAGAGGGGAAGGAGTGGTCTATTGAAACTTCCTCTGCCAAGGACTGGACTCCACCTCAGGCTAAGACCGGACTTTCGTCGTCTCATCGGTAAGGGTGAAAAGAGTGTTATTTTATATAGCTAAAGTATTCAATTACTTGAATATTTCCAAAGTACTCATTTCCAATATTAACACATCTCATAATAATCTGTGATTGTTTTTCCATTGTAGCTCAGGGGGCCTGGGCCAGAACTCGGGAAAACCTTCAGACAAGGTGTTTGAGGACTGGTTGAGTGATGATGTGAACTCTTATCAGAGGTGAGACCATTGTATCCATGAATCGCTTGTCTCTGAGGCAGATGTTGATTCCATTGCTTCCCACAGTTGTGTCAAGTTGGCTGGATGCCCTTTGGGTGGTGGACCATTCTTGATACACACAGGAAACTGTTGAACATGAAAAACCCAGCACCGTTGCAGGTCTTCACACAAACTGGTGCTCCTGGCACCTACTACCATACCCCATTCAAAGTCACTTAAATATTTTGTCTTGTCCATTCACACTTTGAATGGCACACATACACAATCCATGTATCAAGGCTTAAAAATCCTTCTTTAATCTCTAAGTATTCAGACCCCTTGACCTATTCCACATTTTGTTACGTTACAGCCTTATTGTAAAAATGATTAAATTATCCCCCCCCCCCCCCCCATCAATCTACAGACAATACCCCATAATGATGAAGTGAAAACAGGTTTTTAGAAATTTTAGCAAATTTATAAAAAAAAAAAACGGAAACATCTTATTTACATAGGCATTCAGACCCTTTGCTATGAGACGCAAAATTGAGCTCACGTGCATCCTGTTTCCATTGATCATCCTTGAGATTTTTCTACAACTTGATTGGAGTCCACCTGTGGTAAATTCAATTGATTGGACATGATTTGGAAAGGAACACACCTGTCTATATAAGGTCCCACAGTTCACAGTGCATGTCAGAGCAAAAACCAAGCCATGAAGTCGAAGGAATTGTCCATAGAGCTCCGAGACAAGATTGTGTCGAGGCACAGATCTGGGGAAGGGTACCAAAACATTTCTGCAGCATTGATGGTCCCCAAGAACACAGTGGCCTACGTCATTCTAAATGGAAGAAGTTTGGAACCACCAAGACTCTTCCTAGAGCTGGCCGCCCGGCCAAACTGAGCAACCGGGGGAGAAGGGCGTTGGTCAGAGAGGTGACCAAGAACCCGATGGTCACTCTGACAGAGCTCCAGAGTTTCTCTGTGGAGATGGGAGAACCTTCCAGAATGGAAGCCACTCCTCAGTAAAAGGCACATGACAGCCCACTTGGAGTTTGCCAAAAGGCACCTAAAGGACTCTCAGACCATGAGAAACAAGATTCTCTGGTCTGATGAAACCAAGATTGAACTCTTTGGCCTGAATGCCAAGCGTCACGTCTGGAGGAAACCTGGCACCTTCCAGGTGAAGCATGGTGGTGGCAGCATCATGCTGTGGGGATGTTTTTCAGCGGCAGAGACTGGCGCTGAAAATCGAGGGAGATCGAGGGAAAGATGAATGGCGCAAAGTACAGAGAGATCCTTGATAAAAACCTGCTCCAGAGTGCTCAGAACCTCAGACTGTGGCGAAGGTTCACCTTCCAACAGGGCAATGACCCTAAGCACACAGCCAAGACAATGCAGGAGTGGCTTCGGGACAAGTGTCTGAATGTCCTGAGTGGCCCAGCCAGAGCATGGACTTGAACCTGAGCGAACATCTCTGGGGAGACCTAAAAATAGCTGTGCAGCGACGCTCCCTATCCAACCTGACGGAGCTTGAGAGGATCTGCAGAGAAGAATGAGGAAAACTAGAGGCTGTAATCGCTGCCAAAGGTGCTTCAACAAAGTACTGAGTAAAGGGTCTGAATACTTATGTAAATGTGATTTTTCAGTTTATTTTTAATACATTTGCAAAACATTTTAAAAACCTGTTTTTGCTTAGTCGTTATGGGGTATTGTATGTAGATTGATGAGGGGAAAAAACAATTTAATCAATTTTAGAATAAGGCTGTAACTTAACAAAACATGGAAAAAGTCAAGGGGTCTGAATACTTTCCGACTGCACTGTATTCATATTGTATGCAGAAAGCACAGGGTCTAAATCCAAAAGTAAGATGGCACAGAGCACATTTTACTATTGTTTAAAGATCACTTGAATCAGATTTTGTCTTATATACACTGCTCAAAAAAATTAAGGGAACACTTAAACAACACAATGTAACTCCAAGTCAATCACACTTCTGTGAAATCAAACTGTCCACTTAGGAAGCAACACTGATTGACAATACATTTCACATGCTGTTGTGCAAATGGAATAGACAACAGGTGGAAATTATAGGCCATTAGTAAGACACCCCCAATAAAGAAGTGGTTCTGCAGGTGGTGACCACAGACCACTTCTCAGTTCCTATGCTTCCTGGCTGATGTTTTGGTTACTTTTGAATGCTGGCGGTGCTTTCACTCTAGTGGTAGCATGAAACGGAGTCGACAACCCACACAAGTGGCTCAGGTAGTGCAGCTCATCCAGGATGGCACATCAATGCGAGCTGTGGCAAGAAGGTTTGCTGTGTCTGTCAGCGTAGTGTCCAGAGCATGGAGGCGCTACCAGGAGACAGGCCAGTACATCAGGAGACGTGGAGGAGGCCGTAGGAGGGCAACAACCCAGCAGCAGGACTGCTACCTCCGCCTTTGTGCAAGGAGGAGCAGGAGGAGCACTGCCAGAGCCCTGCAAAATGACCTCCAGCAGGCCACAAATGTGCATGTGTCTAATCAAACGGTCAGAAACAGACTCCATGAGTGTGGTATGAGGGCCCGACGTCCACAGGTGGGGGTTGTGCTTACAGCCCAACACCGTGCAGGACATTTGGCATTTGCTAGAGAACACCAAGATTGGCAAATTCGCCACTGGCGCCCTGTGCTCTTCACAGATGAAAGCAGGTTCACACTGAGCACATGTGACAGACGTGACAGAGTCTGGAGACGTCGTGGAGAACGTTCTGCTGCCTGCAACATCCTCCAGCATGACCGGTTTGGCGGTGGGTCAGTCATGGTTTGGGGTGGCATTTCTTTGGGGGGCCGCACAGCCCTCCATGTGCTCGCCAGAGGTAGCCTGACTGCCATTAGGTACAGAGATGAGATCCTCAGACCCCTTGTGAGACCATATGCTGGTGCGGTTGGCCCTGGGTTCCTCCTAATGCAAGACAATGCTAGACCTCATGTGGCTGGAGTGTGTCAGCAGTTCCTGCAAGAGGAAGGCATTGATGCTATGGACTGGCCCGCCCGTTCCCCAGACCTGAATCCAATTGAGCACATCTGGGACATCATGTCTCGCTCCATCCACCAACGCCACGTTGCACCACAGACTGTCCAGGAGTTGGCGGATGCTTTAGTCCAGGTCTGGGAGGAGATCCCTCAGGAGACCATCCGCCACCTCATCAGGAGCATGCCCAGGCGTTGTAGGGAGGTCATACAGGCACGTGGAGGCCACACACACTACTGAGCCTCATTTTGACTTGTTTTAAGAACATTACATCAAAGTTGGATCAGCCTGTAGTGTGGTTTTCCACTTTAATTTTGAGGGTGACTCCAAATCCAGACCTCCATGGGTTGATACATTTGATTTCCATTGATAATTTGTGTGATTTTGTTGTCAGCACATTCAACTATGTAAAGAAAAAAAGTATTTAATAAGATTATTTCATTCATTCAGATCTAGGATGTGTTGTTTAAGTGTTCCCTTTATTTTTTTGAGCAGTGTATATTCACCCCCCTTGGCATTTTTCCTATTTTGTTGCCTTACAACCTGAAATTAAAATTGTATCATTTGATTTTGGCAGCGATTACAGCCTCTAGGCTTTATTGACTTAGGTGGGGGTGAATAGTTATGCACGCTCAAGTTCTGTTTTGTTGTCTTTGTTGTTTGTTTCACAAAACATTTTTTTTTTTTGCATCTTCAAAGTTGTAGGCATGTTGTGTAAATCAAATGATACAAACCCCCAAAAAATCAATTTTAATTCCAGGTTGTAATGCAACAAAATAGGAAAATCGCCAAGGGGGATGAATACTTTTGCAAGGCACTGTATTCTTAACCGTAATTATAACTAACAACTTTCAATACTTTTTCTGTAAATGCTCAACCAAAATATAGCACAGGGTCTTAATTCAAAAGTAAGATACCACAAAGTACACATTTTTACTTTTGCTTAAAGATCAATTTCATCCATATTTTTCATTTTTTCTTTCCTGCTGGGACCACCCATACGCGTATGAATGTTTGTAAGTCACGTTACATAAAAGCATATGCTAAATGGCATATTATATATTATGTTTTTCTCACCTTATGAAGACTTATAATTTATGCAAACATCCCATTTCCCCTGTAGTGGTGGCGGTTATAGTGGGAATCAGGAGAACCGCTATGTTGGCTTTGGGAATACACCGACCCCAGAGAAGAAGGAGGATGATGTCCTGAACAACGCTCTATCTTCCATCTACTCGGTACGGCAGTAATATGGCACAGCATCTGGGAATCTGCATAGCCCTGAAGTAAAGGGGGTTCCCAAATGGCTCCCTATATTTGGGACACAGACATGGAGTTTAAGGTATCTGTCATGGTGACTCGTGTGTGTCCATTTGGGACGCAGACATGGAGTTTAAGATATCGGCCATGGTGACTCGTGTGACATGTTTTGTTTTGTTTGATAGGGCTGGAGCAATTTCACAATCGGAGCAAGCAAAATTGCAGCAGTCGCCAAAGATAATGTAAGTATTTCCAAGGAAAGCTGTTATCCTGTCACAGAACTTAATTTCACTGTTTATTAATAGCTTTTTCCCCACCTTTTCACTGAAACAGACTGCAAAACTTGCAACCTCAGCAACTCTAAAGGTATGACTTTCTTTTATTAAACAGTTATTAAATAGTACCTGATTGCTTAGCACCACTTTTTGAAAACTTTTTTTACTAGCATAATTTTGCAACTTACTGTACATGTGTATGAAAATGTATGCACTCACTAACTGTAAGTCGCTCTGGATAAGAGCGTCTGCTAAATGACTTAAATGTAAATGTGCTTTAAAAACGTGTATTTAGATTAGACTATTTACATGGATGTGTAGATTTAACCTTACAAGTCTGAGATGCCATTTAATAAAGTTGATCAAGACGTGATTATGTAAATCCCCTTTTGATGAATAAGGAAACCATTATTATGCTCATGCTCGCATGACTCAAGTAATATATAGGTTTCAAAGTTTATTCGCCACGTGCACAGGATAAAACAGTACAGTGAAATTCTTACCTTCAGAGCTCTTTTCAACAATGCAGTAATGATGCTAAGAATAATAATAATAAGAAGAAGAACTACGATGAGAGTTAAAGAAACACGAGAATGCAAGTGTATATGCAGGTCAGTGCCAGTACCTTATTCAATGTACAGGGGTACTGGAGTAGTTGAGGTGGGTTTATACATACAAAGTCACTGGTAGTATGAAATACATGTAAACAGGGCTGAAAGGTGACTGGTAGCAGAAAGGTATACATTGAATTTACAAAACATTAGGAACACCTTCCTAATATTGAGTTGCACGTCGAAAGCGTTCCACAGGTATGTTGGCCCATGCTGACTCCAATGCTTCCCACGGTTGTGTCAAGTTGACTGGATGTCCTTTTGGTGGTGGACCATTCTTGATACACAGGAAACGGTTGAGCGTGAAAAACCCAGCAGCGTTGCAGTTCTTGACACAAACCGGTGCGCCCTAGCACCAACTACCATACCCCGTTCAAAGGCACTTAAATATTTTGTCTTGCCCTCTGAATGGCACACATACACAATCCATGTCTCAAGGCTTAAAAATCCTTCTTTAATCTGTCTCCTCCCCTTCATCTAGCTACATTGATTGAAGTGGATTTAACAAGTGACATCAAATAAGGGATCACAGCTTTTACCTGGTCAGTCTGTCATTAAAAGAGCTGGTGTTCTTAATGTTTTGTAAACTCTGTATAAATACTTATGGTAATATACTAATGGTAATATATACTGTACATGTAAACAAGAGTAATAGAGACCAGTAGCAGGGTAAATACTAATGGCAATGGAAATCAATAATTAATGGACGGCAGCGTAAAGGAGTAATACATCTAATCAATAATCATTTTAGTAGTAACAGTTGTCTGAGTGGGTGGAGACCCGTGGATGGGCATGTAGTCAGTGTGGATAGTCATGATGAGCTGCTAAAGATAAATAGTTCTAGCCCCTTCTCTCAGGAAATACCAAGCTAGGGTAATTGATTTGAGTGATAAGACATTTTCATTTATCATAATTCAACCATAGCAATGTATTGGTTAAGAGGCTCAACCTCCTAATTCCATGTTATGTACCCACAGAAAAATTATTATTCTAGAACTTAATTCTAATTCTATGGATGCGCCACTGTATGTGATTCCCTCTGCAGCAGAAACAGCAGTGCAAATGTTTAGCCTTTAGATCTCATGGAACATAGATTTTTTTTCTCACAGGTTTCCCTTTTATTTTTGCTCATAAATGAACTGGACATACAGTACCAGTCAAGTTTGGACACACCTACTCATTCAAGGGCTTTTCTTAATTTTTTACATTTTTTTTTTACATTGAAGAATAATTGTGAAGACATCAAAACTATGAAATAACACATGGAATCATGTAGTAACCAAAAAAGTGTTAAACAAATCAAATTATATATTTTATATTTGAGATTATTCAAATAGCCACCCTTTGCCTTGATGACAGCTTTGTACACGCTTGGCATTCTCTCAACCAGCTTCACCTGGAATGCTTTTCCAACAGTCTTGAAGGAGTTCCCACATATGCTGAGCACTTGTTGGCTGCTTTTCCTTCACTTTGCCGTCCGACTCATCCCAAACCATCTCAATTGGGTTGAGGTCAGGTGATTGTGGAGGCCAGGTCATCTGATGCAGCACTCATCACCCTCCTACTTGGTAAAATAGCCCTTACACAGCCTGGAGGTGTGTTGGGTCATTGTCCTGTTGAAAAACAAATGATAGTCCTACTAAGCCCAAACCAGATGGGATGGCGTATCGCTGCAGAATGCTGTGGTAGCCATGCTTGTTAAGTGTGCCTTGAATTCTAAATATGTCACCAGCAAAGCACTACACATGCAGAGATCAACCGTTCACCCAAACCGCGTCTCACAAAGGCACGGCGGTTTGAACCAAAAATCTCAAATTTGGACTCCAGACCAAAGGACACATTTCCACCGGTCTAATGTTCATTGCTCGTGTTCCTTGGCCCAAGCAGGTCTCTTCTTCTTATTGGTGTCCTTTTAGTAGTGTTTTCTTTTCAGCAATTCGACCATGAAGGCCTGATTCACACAGTCCCCTCTGAACAGCTTATGTTGAGATGTGTCTGTTACTTGAACTCTGTGAAGCATTTATTTGGGCTGCAATTTCTGAGGCTGGTAACTACTGAACTTATCCTCTGCAGCAGAGGTAACTCTGGGTCTTCCATTCCTGTGGCGGTCCTCATGAGAGCCAGTTTCATCATAGTGCTTGATGGTTTTTGCGACTGCACTTGAAGAAACCTTCAATGTTCTTGAAATGTTCTGTATTGTGGCGCAGTGGTCTAAGGCACTGCATTGCAGTGCTAACTGTGCCACTAGAGATCCTGGTTCGAATCCAGGCTCTGTCACCGCCGGCCGTGACCGGGAGACTCATGGGCGGCGCACAATTGGCCCAGCGTCGTCCAGGGTAGGGGAGGGAATGGCCGGCAGGGATGTAGCTCAGTTGATAGAGCATGGCGTTTGCAACGCCAGGGTTGTGGGTTCGATTCCCACGGGGGGCCAGTATAAAAAAAATATGTATTCACTAACTGTAAGTCGCTCTGGATAAGAGCGTCTGCTAAATGACTAAAATGTAAATGTATTGACTGACCTTCATGTCTTAAAGTAATGATGGACTGTCGTTTCTCTTTGCTTATTTGAGCTGTTCTTGCCATAATATGGACTTGGTCTTTTACCAAATAGGGCTATCTTCTGTATACCCCCCCTACCTTGTCACAACACAACTGATTGGCTGAAACGCATTAAGAAGGAAAGACATTCCACAAATTAAATTTTAAGAAGGCACACCTGTTAATTGAAATACATTCCAGGTGACTACCTCATGAAGCTGGTTGAGAGAATGCCAAGAGTGTGCAAAGCTGTTAAGGCAAAGGGTGGCTATTTAAAGAATCTCAAATATAAAATAGATACTTTTAGTTGTTTAACACTTATTTGGTTACTACAAATTCCATATGTGTTATTTCATAGTTTTGATGTCTTCACTATTATTCTACAATGTAAAAATAAAGAAAAACCCTTGAATGAGCAGGTGTGTCCAAACCTTTGACTGGTAGTGTAAATAATTGACCTTATTCTGTGAACATTACTGTAGTTTGAACTTTTTTCGCTTTTTTAACTTCCTCGCTTTCTCTGGACGTAGTTAAGGGGCTATAAGCCGCCCCCTGAGCCGGTAAAATCAATAACAAATGCATGCTCTTTGTCCATATAATACCTGCATATCTCATTTACAAATTGTTTTTATGAATGTATTCATTCCCACCCAAAGCTTGTTGGCTGGTCATCGGTGTCCTGTGTGAAAATGACCAAACCCATTCCTGTGAAATGGTGGATACGTACAGTTATCCAAACCAGTAGTGTTACTTTGAGCTTTTGCTTGGCTGCAGACAGAAAAACCTATTGTCCTGTCTTGTTTTTTGGATATTGATGGATAATCTTGGTCACTTTCACTTTAGTGGCTCATTAAGACCAAATGGTTGAGAACTAATTTAAGGAGTATGAACATTCCTGTCATTTACAAAGAAAGAAATCTTGGCATAATAATGAACATGATGACCACTTCTTTTCTACTCACCAACCATAGGGTTAGCCATCCATGCATGACCTTTCCATTGCTCAGTTCACTTTGAGGGTCGGTCAGCCGTCCGTCTGCTGTGCTGACTGTGCTCGTTTAATGTCCTAGTGAATGGAATGACAGTTCCCTCGCCTGCCTCAGCTGCCTGCTACTCAGAAACTCTGTCAGTGTCTTGCATTGTCGAACTGTTCTGTTTGTTTAATTCACACATCTTCTCCCTGTCACTCCCAACTAGGCCACAGAGTTAGGACAGACATTAAATGAGAATGTTATCAAACCTACCCACGAAAAGGTAACATTGTTTGAAGTTAAAGTTAATAGGCTAATATGCTTCATAGAAGCAGCTTAAAATTAGATGTGCATTGTGTCCTTTGGAATGTGTCTGCTCTAGTGACTGACTATAGTGTGCACTGTGCATGTGTAATAGCTAATTGCTTGATGTAGATAAATTCCACATAGCTTCTTAAAATGGGTGTTTTCAAATCTATCTTGGCTGAGACTAACAGAAATCACCTACTGTCTCCTTATAAGTAGGCTAATCACCACATTTATTAATGTAACCGTTCACGATCAGAAATACTGCCTGAGATAGCCTAGGTGGTGATGTCTTGATTTACACACCCACCTCTTGATGCTGTAAGTTGTCTCAATTTCCATTAACGGTGATTTGGCTTGTCCAGGTAAAAGATGGCAAGTTGCTAGATGACATGTCTGTCGGCATTGCTGGGCTGGCATCCAAGGTAGGAGAAGGCAGACCTCTGCCACACTGCAAACCTACAACCAGTCTCCTAAGTAAGGGTCGTGGGAAGCTATGCATTCATTAGGAATTAGCAAGGCAAAATACGCAGGTGCTGTCATCACATTACTTACCTTGAAAAGGAGACTGGTTTCGGTGTGTTGATGTACATTTTGAAGATATTCATGCAATTTTGTCTCCCATTTCTCTTGCTGCCATTGTTATTCTGGTGGTGAGTACTGTGTAGATTGAACTGTACTTATATTAACCTTTGCTTAAGTCAGTAATGAACTGTTGTGATGAATAGAGGTCAATGATTAGGTTAAAAGGTCATATTTTGACTGGAATCTGATAGACATGATTGTAAACTTGTTTTGGTGAGTGTTGCAGACTTATCAACATTTCATGTCTATCCATGTTTTCTCGATTTTGTTTGACATGTGTGCCCTCTTCTCAGGTTCAGGATGCTGGTGCAAAAGGCTGGAAAGATATGACTGACTTCTTTGCTGGAAAGCCAGAGGACGGGTAAATCCAAATTATTAAATTCATCTGGAATTTGGCATAGTGTCAGTTGAGGGTCTTTATTTCTGAGATGACCGTCTCCCCTCTTTGTGATGAACCCTCTCCCACAGGTCCGAAGGAGAGAGCTACCAGAACATGGACGCCACTGAGGGTTACCAGGTCAACTCCTCAGGCCCAGAACTAGGCCAGGCCCCTGCGCAGGACTTCTGGAAGACCTTTGGCAGCACCAGCTCCTCCAAGCCCAAGAAGTCCCCCAGCAGCGACAGTTGGACCAACGTTGACAACTCTGCCACCGAGAAGAAGAGCTCCGACAACTGGGGCTCGGAGGCGGCATCCAACAACAAACACAGCACTGGAGACCGTTGGGAGGCCTGGGACAACAACTGGGACAATGCTGCTGTCGGAGAGGCCAAGGGCAAGAAAAGCCCCGCCCCCGCCAAACCTGCTGAGGAAACCTGGGACAATGCAGACTGGTAGAGGCCTCACTCACAATCCTCCCCAGCTCTATTTCTCCCTTTTCCTCTATTCCCTTCACCACTTTCTCTCTTTCCTTCCTTCTCACAGGCACTTTTACAGTTGCACAGTTCTGTCTCTAACCTGGGTTGAGTTCAATGCCAGTTCAGTATGTATTTATCGCTCAATAAGAATTAATTGAAATGGAATTGAGCTCAACGCATACTGAGTATTCCTGAATATTTACAAACTTTAAAGGTTGCAGTCTATTTAATTTAGCTGGATGTGTGTAAATAATATTTTATTTTAATTAATTACAGGAGTTAAAAAATCTAAATGTGTGCAGAGTCATAATCATGTCATATTTAAAGTTGTCTCCATATTAGAAGGCAGGTTGCCATCTTGGTTTTATGAGTCTATTGTCAGACATTAAATACATCATCCTCAACTAAAGATGGCAGCAGTCACCTACTCAACCAGAGTTTCTAGAGCGAGAGGAGCCCTGTCTGTCTATGGTTATCCCATGAGAAACAGGGATTTCAACTTTCTGAGTTTCCACATTCACTTTATGCATAATGAAATTGACAAGGAACTGGAATCAAGTTTAGTGTGCTACCATGTAAAGCCAGCATCCCTTGCACCCCAACAGTGCTGTCTGTGTTGACTAAAACTTACGGTCAAAATGTTATTTTGTGTGTCAATTTACGACTGCAGCTAACCTTGGTATGATGATGCTTAACATTGTGCAATGGCGTTACATGTATAAATGTAGTTGCTGGATTCATGTGATGCAAGTACAGTATTTGAACTATCTTTTTATTTCCATTCTCAGCCCTCTTCATTGAAACCTGAAGAGAAAGCTCTTATGAGTCGGTGCAACTTGGTTATTTTGATGAGGAACAGGTGATAAGTACATTTAGGTTTTAATACAACCTAGTCTAAAAAGCGGTTGATAGTATAAAAAGTACTATTCCACCACCCAATCAGTGGTTGTCGATCGCATGGCATTAATCTCATCAGCTAACTGTAATATACGTTATCATGTGTTCATGTATTGTGTGTGTGTTGGGAACTGGACACATTTGTTTTTGGAATAGGGTCTATAACTCTGACTTATGGTTCATTGCAAGTAGGCTATGTAATACTGCCAAACCTGTGGGACCACCACAGCAAACTTCTGTGACCTCAGTAAACTTCAGTTGACCCTCAGGGGGCTCTAGTATAGTCTAGTTGCGTCTATTGTCCTCTTAACACACACCAAAAAAAAAAAACTTTCTCAGTAAGCTGAGCTTTTCAGTCTGTGTTAAGTGTTGCTTCCAAGTTTTCATGAGTTGATAAGTGCGGCTACTTGACCAGAGATACTGTTTATCATAATATTGAATCATACGATGGGCAAAGAACACATCTCAGGCCAGTCATGTAAGAAGCTTTGATACGAAGAAAGTTTGATACGATCAGTCACTTCTCAAGGAGTGCGGTTGAATACTGCCAATTTGAAAGAAAGCTTTTCGCTGGACTTTTAAGATGAGCCAGATGTTTTACATTGAAGTGCAAACTTCAGCCATGTAGGCCAGGCCTAATCCCTTGCCCCTGTTGTTCGATTCAAAGTTTTTGTGTTCCTATGCAGGGGGTTAAATTGGCATTTCTGTGTCCTCTGAATTGCTGGCTTTTCCATAGTCATTTTTCACAGATTAGCCTAGTTCCTACTGTTTACTGTCTCCCCTAGTAATGTCTCCCATTGGAACTCTCAATTTCACCTCTGTATGTATGTGAGAGAGTGCTCATTTTTTTCACTCTTGAGAAAGAGGGCAAGGCTACTATTTTGTAATTGCACCAGATTGTTGGCATTTCCTTCCCCTGGCTGTTTTTCTGGTGGAACCACAGCAATACGGGCTGATATGGCATGGCTTGCATTGTCTTGTGTGAATGAAAAGTGCTTCTGCTAAATGAGCAACAAAGATGTTCTGTTGAGTTGTTTTGTACACAAAAAAAATGATCATCACCTGAGATGTAAACCAGGATAACTGTAATGACTAATTGCAACGCTTATGTAGTAGTGCATCTTCTGCGGTATTGCTTTATCTCCCCTGGCCTCTATTTTAATGTTGTGTTACAAGCCTTAAAGAGCTGTCCTCATAGTCTATCTATTGATAACTTGTTGTCAGTTTGGTTTTACGAGCGTGTGTTTGGGTGTGTGAGTGTGTTCTCCCTTATTAGATGGACAGCATGTATGATAAAATGATAAAATATGAACGTAAAACGAGGTGCTGCTGTTTACAGTTTGCCTCCATATTTCTGATGCTTTATAATGACTTTTCTTGTACTATATTTTATGACTAATCACACAGCCTGGTGGTACCAGCCTGATGGTGAACGTAGCGATCGGGCTATTTCCACCAAGCTAAATCACACATTCTTACGGTCCCAATATTTTTATTTTATTTTTTATTATTCATCAATGAATTCCTGTGCTTTAATCTAAAGGATGTTAAATGTTTATAGATCTACAAGTCTCACGGTAGATCATTGGGTAAAATGTGTTATGTAACACTTTCAAATTAGTTAAAGAACATTTTCTCTTATTTTTTTACCATTGATAGTAATTAAGACTTTTCAGCAGTGCAGTTTAGTGAAATATAGGCATAATGCAGAAAAGTACAGTAAACCATGTGCTCTTTAATGTCCATGTTTTGACTGCCACATTGGAGATTGTGGATGGCAATCTTTGTAGATATCATTGTTCAGTCAACAAATACTATTTTTCGATATTGTACATGATTTCCTAATGCAACAATGGTTTAGAGATTTACATTTTTTATTTTGAAAAACATTGTATTTCTAAGTGCAGTGGGTGTTGGTGAGTTGTGTTTTCCTGAGTTCCACTAATTTATCTAGACAAGCATTCCATATTGGTGATTGATTGAAGGGAATTTCTTCCAATGCTCTTGAATCTCATGTGAACCATAAAATTACATTAGGCTTGTCCCTTATAGTACTGTAATAAGTATGTGTAACATTTCTGGTTGTGGGTGTATTTACAGTGCCTTCAGAATGTATTCATACCCCTTGACTTATTCCATATTTTGTTTTACAGCCAGTGGTGATTTTAGCATGTAGATTTTGGTGGGACAAAAAAACATACGTGGGATGTATGCCAGCAAAGCCACTACACAACACATTAATTGCACTATAACGGTGACAAACGGTGCCCACAAACTGTTAGGGCCTACATAAAGCTGTCCCGACAGCAGAGTCCCAAAACCTTACCACTGCTACACCTGGCTATCAGCGGAGCCTTGTCTGGCAGCGAAACAGTTCATTCAGCCTCATTTACTGCCTTAAAAAAAACATAGATGATATGACTGACTTGCTTAAACAAATGTGGTTTCTACTGACAATTGAGATGTACAAACTATGGCATAAGGGGAAGACAAGCGATGAGGCAATCCGTAATTTCGATTAATACATTAATGAGCGAGCCAGGACGGACGTAGTCAATATAACTATTTGTTCAGCACGTTTGAAATGTACAGCGACAGAATTCAGAACATGGTCCGTTCTTATAGTTTTCTCCCTGTACACCAAGTCAGAACCGTAGGATAAATAAAGGGGGAATATAAGCAGACAATGAAAGCGCTTACAATATTCAATGATTACATTTCTCAAAAACAGGTTATAGGCTACATGTGCACCACTGAGTCAGAACAGTAGGCGAAATTAAGAGGTTGAGGCACATGGGCTACTAACAGCTTACTACACACAACATACACTTAGTATTACTTTCTTAGTTACAGTATACACATCTCCCTGGCATATTACATCAAGTATGCAGCAGCATATAATACATTTTTGGACTCATCTTGTGATGTGCTCACTTGAACAGGAAGGTGGCACGGCGGTCCTTCGTGGGCAAATTTTGTCATCAAAGAAAGAGAAAGAGGCCGGATTAACAATTCCGAGTTGGATGACCGTTCAAAACTTTATTCCCGATTTCCCAGTTGCAATGCTTGCAGTTAGCCACTGTCACCGATTCCTTCCAAACCACTCATTGTTGAATTTCCGATTTCCAACTTCGGTAATGTTTATGGCCGATGAGCACCGATTTAATTTATCTTCATTATTTCTCCATATGACAAGGATTAAAAAGGATTTGCCAGTAGATTGTCGACTTGATCCATGATGATGACTGCTAGCTACAATTTTGAAAGTAAGATGTTGACATGATCAGTCCAATCAAAGCTACTGTACAGAACGTGATTTCCCTTCACTGGAACTAAGGGGCCTTACCCGAACCATGAAAAACAGCCCTAGACCATCATTCCTCCTCCACCAAACTATACAGTTGGCACTATGCATTGGGGCAGGTAGCGTTCTCCTGGCATTCATCACTCCAGAGAACGCGTTTCCACTGCTTCAGTGTCCAATGGCGGCGAGCTTTACACCACTCCAGCCGACGTTTGGCATTGCGCATGGTGAACTTAGGCTTGTGTGCGGCTGCTCGGCCATGGAAACCCATTTCATGAAGCTCCCGACAAACAGTTATTGTGCTGAGGTTGCTTCCAGAGGCAGTTTGGAACTCGGTAGTGGGTGTTTGTCCATGGAGATTGCATGGCTGTGTGCTCAATTTTATACATCAGCAACAGGGTGTGGCTGAGAGCCAAATCCACTAATTTGAAGGGGTGTCCACATACTTTTGTATATATAGTGAATGTAATTTACATAAGTATTCACACCCCTGAGTCAATACTTTGTAGAAGCACCTTTTGGCAGCGATTACATCTGTGAGTCTTTCTAAGAGTTTTCCACACCTGGATTGTGCAACATTTGCCCATTATTCTTTTCAAAATTCTTCAACCTTGTCAAATTGGTTGTTGTTCATTGCTAGACAACCATTTTCAGGTCTTGCCATAGATTTTCAAGTAGATTTAAGTGAAAACTGTAACTCGGCCACTCAGGAACATTCACTGTCTTCTTGGTAAGCAACTCCAGTGTAGATTTGGCCTCGTGTTTTAGGTTATTGTCCTACTGAAAGATGAATTAATCTCCCAGTGTCTGGTGGGAAGCAGACACAACCAGGTTTTCCTTTAGGATTTTGCCTGTGCTTAGCTCCATTCCATTTCTTTTTTTATCCTAAAAACTCCTCACTCAACGATTACAAACATACCCATCACATGATACAGCCACCACTATGCTTGAAAATATGGAGAGTGGTACTCAGTAATGTGTTTTATTGGTTTTGGCTCAAACATAACACTGTATTCAGGACAAAAAGTTAATTGCTTTGCCAAATTATTTGCAGTATTACTTTAGTGACTTGTTGCAAACAGGATGCATGTTTTGGAATATTTGTATTCTGTACAGGCTTCCTTCTTTTCACTCTGTCAATTAGGTTAGTATTGTGGAGTAACTACAATGTTGTTGATCCATCCTCAGTTTTCT